TCTGAGTTTGAATGTGTTGGAATAGTTAACAGTTAATCGGACAGCCGAGTTACAATTCCTGATGGATTTGTTATCACCTACGGGCAAATGGCCCTCGGGAAAAGTATGATTCCCCCTCTTCTATCCCCAGCTATGAGTTAATTAGTCAGACTTGTATCACTAAACCATGAATATCTCTCCCCACAAAAAAAAAAAGAAAATTCTGACAATATAAAACTATTTTCTGGCTTTAAATAAACTGCATATGGCTGATAAACCATCGAAAACGATTTAATGCATTCATCTATTTTGAATTTCGGTTGCGCAGCCTTGGTGTAACTTGGCAGTTTAAAGGTTTTGGTTGGTTAATTTAAAGACAAATTTGGGTTATTTAATATCAAATAGAGCAAAATGCACAATAGATCTATAGTTAAGTAAACCTAAAACAGGTTTACACTTGAGTTAAAAGCTAGATATAGCCCCGTCTTATACAGGGTGTCCATAAGTTCGTGTGCACTTTAAAAAATTTATAACTTTATTTGTATTTGCGATAGAAATAATCTGTAAAAAAGGTTATAAATTTTAATGTACCTAGTTTTAAGTATAGCTAAAATAACTAATGTGATTTCAGGCATTACTGTGAATCAGTTGGCAAATGTTTTTCCGTGAACTGCAAAATCGTATTACCCTTTGTATTGCTAATGATGGAGGACATGTGGAAACTCTAATAAAATTTCAATAAAACCTTAAAAAATGTAGATTTACTTCTTTCTAATCCTTTTTACAAATTATTTCTATCGCAAATACAAATAAAGTTATAAATTTTTAAAAGTGCACATGAACTTTATGGACATCCTGTATTTAGGTCAAAATGTAGATATAGGTTCGGTTTACATGTGACACTATGATTTAGACACCTACATAGAAGAGGAAAATGTGATTTTTATCTTGATCTCAAACGTTTCTGCGTTATAGCCTCTGGGTGGGATCTTTGAAGTCGGGACTTCTAAGTAACACCCACTTGACCGAAGAAGGACAAAAGAACAAATAATTAAAAGACAAAATTAAGTCAAGCGACAACATTTTAAATATATTGAAAACAGTGTTCGGGCTTTAATTTCTTGATGTGGCGTTTGTTTTCGTTTTTGGTTTCCTTTTGAACGCGCAACAGACCTTTACCCAGTTTTTGGTTCACATCGATGTGAACGAGGATGGAGACTCAACGTCCGGTAGTCATTGGCCGGTCGGTGAAAATCTAGGTGAGGGTCACGATGTATGTTTACATAGACTTCCGGTTAAAACGTAGCCATAGGACCGGCTTTAGTCGGCAAGCATTCATCCAAAAGATGATCCATTTGTCTTACATCTCCTGTGGGTAATGCAATCGGCGAATTCGAAGCTTCGATTCAGGGCAACCGACTGCGCATGTGCGAACAGAAACAATGGCGTGAGGTCCATAGTTGTCAGACGCCCTTAAGTAATTATGTTAACTGTAGAACATTTGCATTCGCCGAGAAAGTAGATTCTCCATGTAGATTGTTCAGAGTGATGAAACAACTGGTGTCAATCTCAAGGAGGATTCTGCGGGGGGTTTTGCAAAGTGGAAGGTATACTGGGTTAATTATGATTGAGGCTTAATGGTGAGTACTTTGATGACGACTAAGGCGCTGTTGTCCTAAGTAGGTTACTTTTCTCACTGAGCTTTTTATTAATGGCAGTAAGATGACGGTCCGACAATGATAGGCAACTGAAATTAAAATGTAAGAAATACAAGTCAAACAATTCAATATCTGTCTATATTTCTGAGATGAGATATTATGTACATTATTTATATCGTTCGACTATCGTCTCATCTTTATCACCGATTTTCGTAACTATCGGTTTTTCTAAAAGTTATAAAATTAACAGATCACTTTAATTATCAGTTCCATCTCCTGTATTGATGGTGTCAAATATTTTTATATTCCAAGTTCTCCACTGCCTTAACCGGGTATTGAACTCACACTCTTTGGGTCCTGTCACTGGATCTAACCAACGCCTTTATCCACTGTGCCACAGTGTCAGTTCAATATCCGGTTAAGGCAGTGGAGAACTTTCAGAGGGAAAATTAGCAGGAGATAACTGATAACTGACATCCATTAAACATGGCACGTTGAACTAGAACAGTCTACCCCAGTGAACGAAATAAAGGATTCAGTTTGACATTCCAACCACCTGAAGAAGGCCGGAGCGTCCAACGGCCGAAACGTTGTAATAAATATAGCGACAAAGATGAGGATAATAGTCCGAATAATGTAAATAGTGTACATAATACCTCATCCCAGAAATATAGACAGATACTAAAAGGCCGAAACATTGTAATAAATATGGTGACAAAAATGATGACAATAGGCCGAATAATGTAAATAGTGTACATAATACCTCATCTCAGAAATATAGACAGATACTGAAAGTCCGAAACGTTGTAATAAATATGGCGACAAAGATGAGGCCAATAGTCCGAATCATATAAATAATGTACATAATACCTCATCTCAGAAATATAGACAGATACTAAAGGGCCGAAACATTGTAATAAATATGGCGACATAAATGAGGCCAATAGTCTGAACAATGTAAATAATGTACATAATACCTCATCTCAGAAATATAGACAGATACTAAAGGGCCGAAACATTGTAATAAATATGGCGACATAAATGAGGACAATAGTCTGAACAATGTAAATAATGTACATAATACCTCATCTCAGAAATATAGACAGATGTTAATAGTTGCAATTGCGGTAGACTGTTCTAGTTCCACGTCATGTTTATCGATGTTGTTATCTCCCGTTAATTTCTATAGGAATTAACAGGAGATAACTGATAACTAACATCTATGGAGCGTGGAACTAGAAAAGTTCACCCCAGTGAGCGAAATAAAGGGTTCAGTGCGACATTCCAACCTCCTGAAGAAGTCCGGAGCGTAAGAACGGCCGAAAGATGAGGACAGTCCGAATAATGTAAATAGTGTACATAATACCTCATCTCAGAAATATAGACAGATACTGAAGGGTCGAAACGTTGTAATAAATATGGCGACAATGACGAGGACAATAGTCCGAATAATGTAAATAAAGTCAAACAATTAATAATCATTGTCAACACTTTATTTGATAAGAAAGTTAAAATGATATTGTGAAACTGTTTCAAAATATCAGTCATCATTTGTTCCTATTGTTGTTAACGCTTTCAATGAGAAACGCCTGTCGGAAAGAATAACCTTTAAAATATTGTTGTAAACATAGAGATTTTTTAGTGAAAGCTATAAAGCTATTGCCTTTGGCTTCAGTAAAAAAAAAAAGATAAAATTAAAAGCTTCCCGCTTTTTGTGCAAAAAAGGTCATTTAAAATAACAAGTGCATACGACTAATATATGCAACACTACTGCATTGACCTAAGCAGCAAAAGAATAATTCTCATCCTTTCTGCGTTTTTTACAGCAGTGATTGGCCTGGAAATCTTCTATACAAGGTTTTATTTTAATTTTCTTTTTCCCTTTTTTTCACTACACTTTGTGTGCGGGTACCTAACTGCACAGTGAATGAACTCAGCGATCCAAGTTCAAACACTGGCTAGGAAAGATTGAATGATTGGTTTTCTGCAGCCTATCAACCCTCTGCGGGTTATTTAAGCCAGAAAATATTTTTTTACATTGTAAGAATTTAAAAAAAATTAACATGAGTGATGGCGATTTAGTGATACAAGTCTTACTAATGAACCCATAGCGGGGGAATAAGATGTAGATTGATACTTTTCCCAAGGGTATTTGCGCCTAAGTGAATATAACGAACCCAACGGGAATTGTAACTCAGCTCTTCGATTAATAATTTCGAGTCATTATCAATTACACCATCCGAACATCCAAGCTTACATCACGGTTACCAATCTAGGTACTGACAAGGATCGATGCTGCTTAACTTCGGTGATTGGACAGGAACCGGCATTTCGAGGTGATATGGCCGTAAGCCCGGTTACGACCCGCCTTGCCTGGTTCACAGAATCGAATCAGCTTCCATCCCTACATATCCCATTCGTAAGAAGACTGTTCCACTCAGACAACTTCTTCCCAACAACCGCTACTTTTTGAAACAGGCTCCTGCGAGGATGCTTCCACGAACACTACAATCTTAACCACTTCCAGTTTAGGGTCAATCTTTATTTATTCTCCGTATTCTCATAATGTTCTCTTCCCCCTTTTACGTTCATATCCCACAACTCATTCGGTAAGCGAATTCCTTGAGTGGCTCTTGAGACTGGTTTGAGGTGAGCATTAGAGAAAAGCTAATTTTGCAAACCATTAAAGTGAGTCCACCACGCATTTCACTGCAGCACGTAATTTATGACCTTTTAGGCGATTCTAAGAGAATTAGACGTCCTACAAGGATTCATTATTGGCGGCCTTAATCTTAACATATAAAGATGACATAGTGATGATAGCAGACAAAGACAGGAAATTATAAGAACTCCTACAAAAGGCAAGCAAGTAGGAAGGACTAAACATCAACAGCAAGGTAGGTAGAATGTTATGGTTATTAGCAAAAGTAACATCTTACTAATTAATTTATAGCTGAGTGGAGAAGAGCTGGATTCATACCTTCCCCAAATTTATTTTCACGTAAGTGAATTTAATAAACCCATCTAGAATTGGAACATGACTGAGATTAACAATCTCGAGCCAGTATCCTTTACACCACTCGAACACTCGAACATCTAAGCTTACAACACTTGGTATTCTCAAGCGGTCGCCTATCTAGGTACTGACCAGGTTCTACGTTGCTTTCGTTTGATAAAGTACTGCTGAGTAACCTTGACATATTTAGGAAGGATATTAGAATAATCCAGAACCTATACTGACAGCAAACCACCTGCGTACATATAGAAAATGAATTTAGTAAATATACAAGATTAGAAAGGGAAGTAAGACAAGGGTGTGTCGTCTCACCGGACTTTCAACCTATACACTTATGCAATTCTGAG